GAGTTTCATAGATGTGACGTAGTGAGCGAGAAGCGACCGTGAGACTGTTTTGATTCAGACAACAATGGCGGCTCGCATCGAGGAAGCAAGCGTTAACATTGATGCTGCTATTTCATCCGTGTTGTCCAATCTGAATCTACCTATATTGTTTTCATTAAAAGAACATCAGGAGAACGGCTCTGAAGGCTTTAGTTGGTGGAAACGATGTTTTCGCTTTTCTCCCGACGGATTTGGCAGGCGTCGCTTTTTCCTGCGTCGCTCTCATCGCGTCACGGGTTGGCTTCGGTGAGTGGTTGAAATAGCACGTCGATTAAGATGACAGACAAGTGGCTTATCCAATCATATGTAAGGACTTTTGATAAGGCCCAGCCTTCTGAAACGCCATTTCAATGGATTGTTCCAGATGGATGAGTGGAGCTAGGCGGAGCGAAATTCATCTGGCTAGGGCCAGGTTAGGAGCTTTGGTGGTTGAAAAACAAAGAACCGATTTGAAACTAGTCTCTGGCTCCGAACCAGCACCAGCTCTGCCTTGGTGGAAAAGGGGTAAATGAGGATCATTCTTGTGTCACGCAGAACATGTGAGCTTTCGCAAGAACCAATGAGGTCCATTCTCATGTTACGCAGCACATGTGAGCTTCCTCAAGAACCAATAAGGCACATTCTTGTGTTACGCAGCACGTTTGAACTTCTGCAAGAGGTTTGTTCTCACCCATCAAACAAGTTGAAATTGAAACCAAAAACCGAAAAAGAGGAGACCAAGGCCGAAAACCAAAACACTGAAATAAATTATGCCAATTATTAGTACCATTGCATATGGCTATGACTGCGCACAAATGCTACTAAAATCAAGGCATTGCAATTGCATAAATGAATATAATCGGCACGTGTACGCAGTAATTCGGCACGGGTACACACATCAGTTCAAACGCAGACCACCCTGCTTCCGTGGCGTAATCCAGTCATTAATGTTTCTCCAAAACACTCATGTACTGAGGCAGGAAGTGTGCAACTTGCTCGAGAAGAAAGCAATAGTTCCCCGTTTTACAGCCGCTACTTTGTAGTGCCGAAGAAAGGAGGTCTTCGCCCCATACTGGATCTGAGACCCATCAACAGAGCGTGCCACAAGTGTGCCATCAGAATGTAAGTAAATCTGAAGTAAATCCTGGTGCAAATTTGGTATTCCGTGGTATTCCGGCCACAAGTGTAATATGGTCACTCGTGGCTGCGTACATATGCTCTGGCTCCGTGGAAGAACCCAGAGCTTTTCAGATCGGGTGTCCCTCTGGGCATCGTGACACGGCGTGTGGAGGTCCTGACGGACACATCGACCACCTGATGAGGAGCGGTCTGCTTGGGCAAGCCTGCTTCGGGTCGGTGGTCAGAGAAGCAGGCAGAGTGGCACATAAATCGTTTGGAACTAAAGGCGGTCTCTCTAGCTCTTTAAGCCTTTCGGTCTCAGCTGGAGCAGCGGCATGTGTTGATTCAGACCTACAACACATCTGTGGTTTTGTACATAAAGCGCCAGGGAGGCGTACATTCCAGAGCCCTATTAAAGCAGGCAGAACCTCGTATGCTGTGGCGGACCGGTTTTTCCTCTCGGTGAGTACGGCTCACATCCCCAGTGTTCTGAATCGCAGGGCGGACATGCTCTCGAGAAGCGGGGTTCCTCAAGGGGAATGGAGGCTTCACCCAGGTTCAGCTGATATGGAAGCGTTTCGGCAAAAGTGGAGGTCGACCTCTTCACAACGCATTGTCAGGCGTTCTTCTCGCTGTCCGGTTATTCCCGGGAGCAGGACATGCTGACCGCGCGATGGCCGAAAGTTTGGCTCTATGCTTTTCCTCCGGTGAAAATTCTGCCCATGATGTTGTGCAAAATCAGGGAGCAGAGGGTGGCAGTGACTCTGGTAGCCCCAAACTGGCCGAACCAACCATGATTTGCGGACTTGGTGGAGTTACTGACAGGGTGGCCATGGGAGATTCCGCTCAGGAAGGACCTGCTGTCTCAGGCGACCGGATCCATCTGGCATCCCAACCCCGGGCTGTGGAGCCTCCATGTGTGGCCGTTGCAGGGTCGCTGGATGTGCTGCACACTCGAGCCTTGATCACTATCGCAGAAGTGCGAGCCCCGTCCACCAGGCGTCTGTATGCCCTGAAGTGGGGAGTTTTTTCAAAATGGAGTCAAGCAAAGGAGTTGTTATGTGTCGGATATTCTGCACTTCCTTCAGTACAGGATGGAAGAGGGGAGCCTTCCATCCACTCTGAAGGTGTATGTGGCCCCTATCGCCCAGTTTCATCCCCCTGTTGACGGGCAGTCTATCGGCAGACATGCATCGGTGATCGGGTTCCTCAAGGGGACCAGGAGGTTATGCCCCGCACGGCCGCCTTCGGTGCCGCCGTGGGATTTGGCTTTGGTTTTGGAGGCTTTGTCACGACTGCCTTTCGAGCCCCTGGCTTCGATCGCCATTAAGGAGCTTTCTGTAAAAATGGCTCTGCTTCTCGTGCTTCCATTGGCGAAGCGCGTTGTAGATTTACAGGCTTTCTCTGTAAGTGAAGATTGTATTCACTTTGGACCGGGAAACTGTAATGTGACTCTCATGCCAAGGCTATGTTATATCTAGATTGTTTAAGTGCAGATTGTTTCTCTGCCTGCCCTGTCTGCTGAGCCATCAACCTCTCAGGTTTAGGATGCTCAGAGTGCCGTGTGCTCGGTTAGAGCGCTACGGGAATACGTTTTTCGCTCGGCCACTTTTCGACAATTGGACCAGTTTTTGTGTGTTTTGGTGGATGCAACAGAGGACAGGGGGGCCTCTAAGCAGAGGGTTGCTCACAGGGTGGCTTATGATTGCCTGTGGCAGGAATGCCCCCTTAACATCAAGGCCCATTCGACGAGGGCGATCGCCTCTTCATGGGCCTGGACTAAGGGTATGTCTATTCAGGATTTATGTCTTGCAGCTGGCTAGTCTTTTCAGAACACGTTTGCCAGATTTTACAAGTTGGATACCCTCGGTGGCCTATTTTGACCTATCAGAGCTTACTGGTTCGCTATTGGTCAACCTCAGCCTATCAGATGCTTGCTCGCTGGGGAGACGGTCTTGGTATTGGGTTCTGTCATCAACGGTGTATTATCCTGCTAAGATTAGTATTATCCTGTATTAATCTTTAGCGTTTGTTCGATTCTAGGAAATTCACGCTGCATCTGCATTATTACTGCAACAGTAGCCTATAAGATTTCAGCAGAAGTGAAGAAGGGGAGGAGTTCCCATATACGACATCCGTAACATCTCGTTCCTTGCCTTTCAGGGAACTCTGGGAAGGGAAGGCAACGAAAGTAACCGGAGACGTTATACATGATTATTTTTGTATTGGTGGTGGTATACTAAAAAATAAACATTTTCAATTTGTCACGCGTTTATCTTTATCTTCTCACCGATTCCTTTTGGTTAAAGGAAAGTTACTTGAGTTGTCCCCTGTCGTTTCAAAGAATAGTACAACAGCAAGGGCGTCAAGTATAAACGCCTTGACCATTTGGAGAGGTGCGTGCGCTGTCTGTAGAGACTCTTGCTGCGGAGGCAGGCAAAAGTATAAACAAGGCTTCCGTCTCCTCGCAGGTTCAGATATACTGAAATACGTCCACACTGCAGACATGTTGCTTCAGACAAGCACGTGCCGGTTGCGGTTTCTCACAACATTTCGGCCATGATAAAATGTTCAGTGCTCGAATATTCTGTGCATCCCTAATTAGTTTTACAACCTCTTTATGAACATTTTGAAGTTTCAAAGTGTCAGTTGTGTAGCTGTAAACAGAGGGATGGAAAACTCTCAGATTTCATCAAAAAGATCTTTTGTATTCAGCAGAAGAAAGAAATACATAGGCCTACATGCTTGGAACAACTTGGAGCAAATTATGACATCATTTTCATTTTTGGGTGATCTAACCCTTTAAACTAACATTAAAATGCTAACTGAAAATATAAAGCATAAGTAATAAATAAAAGCTAATTTTAAAAAAATATTAATAAAAACTAATACCATAAAATAATACTAAAATAACACTTCTGTATAAGAGAAATGTGCTATCAGCTCCAGAAACAATTATGAATGAAAATGCTAATAATGAAAATGAAAAAAGAAAGTTAATATATTAATGAAAAGACCAAGTTCTAGGCATTTTAAATGTGTCCTAGGAAAACATATTTTTACTAAATAAATGTCAGTGACTTTCACAATAATCTGGTGTTTTTATCACTTCCATGGGCTTTGGATATCACCCTTTAAAAAGCCCTGTATATTTCCATAATGTACTATACATTTTAACACTACATATCAAATGCTACTGCATGACATCCATCCTGAAACAAACAAACCTAGAGGGACAAATGACGGACTGGAAGCAAGTCAGCATCAAGACAGTGGAGTGACATTTGACCACTAGGATCCATCCTGATCCTGGACATTATTAGGCAGAGAATCACAAGACAGCTTTCTTTGTAAACCTGACTCTCAAAAGTGAGGTCACTCTCTTCCCAGTTGTCTCTGACTATGCACTCACTGAGATTGTCATTTTCAAAGGTCTGTTATAATTAACAACACACGATGCTAGGATGTGTTATTCTTTCTTAAACAATAACATAAACAAGGCTAGGGCTGTCGCAAACCCTAATCTGGGTATTGAAAACACAACCTTCCTTTCCAGCACACAGGCCACCGGTCTGAACTCAGCTGGGAATGTGCAGACATCATGGCTGAACGACTAAATACCCCTCACATCTCATCGATGCACGGTGCCTGAGCTGCCGCTAAACAACCAAACGACAGAGCGCAGTTTCAAGTGCAATTCTGAATTCACCCCTTCTTCAAATCATAACGCATTCAATAATAATAGTTTACCTTCGTCCAGGGCCAGACCCCAGTTACACCTCCAACATTGGCAAACACTAAAGAGAACTGATGGTACCAGGACTAAACCAACATATTAACTACACGTTTTTTTTCCTAGAAATAGACAAATATGACGACGGCACAGCATTACTTTGTGATTTGTATGTGTTTAAGCTTATAATAAGCACAGTTTTGGTCAATTTTTTATTTAGTTCTTTGAGGACACCGAAAAGAGTGCACCCCTCCCCTATCGCACAGATGGTACAGTCCGGCTTCCTGGTACCGACTAGGGATGAATTCATGCTCTGTACATTTAAATACCACACTACATGACTTTTTAAATTGTGTTTAAAACAGTGTGTGTGTGAGAGAGAGAGAGAGAGAGAGAGAGAGAGAGAGAGAGAGAGAGAGAGAGAGAGAGAGAGAGAGAGAGAGAGAGAGAGTCTCTGTGCGCGCGTGTGTTTGTGTTTGTTTGCTTGTTTTCAATTGATCAAAAGTGACTGTGAAAACATGTATAATGTTGATGATTTTAAAAAAGAAACAATTTAGTAACCTTTATTCATCAGCTGTTTTCTTTATGGCGACATTTTTTGGTCCCCCAAAACAGCCTATGAATCATACTAATTTTTTTAAAAATAATAATTAAATATAATAATAATTATTATTATTATTATTATAGCCTAAGTATATATTAATAGTCATTACATATTTACTTTTAATAATTTAACATATGCTTTTATCCAAAACGACTTACTGAAGAGAGTAATAAAAGCAGTTAAATCAACAATAGGCCAACAATATGCAAATGTCACCACCAGTCTCAGCTAAACCAGCACAACACACATAGCAAGGGTTTTTAAGTAAATATAGAATAATAAGTGGTAGTATTATTGAGTCAAATGTTGGCAAAAGAGATGTGTCTTTAGTAGAATCCTGAAGATGCATGGCTAAAGTCTCAGCAGGTCATTCCACCAGCTTGGAAGAGTCCAGGTACAGGTCTGTGAAAGAGATTTTGTGCCTCTTTGGGATGGGTTCCAGAATGCAAGCTTCTGGATGGCACGTTGGTCTGAATACTGAGTTAAGATACAGGGGTGCAGAGCCAGTGGTTGTTCTCTTCTGCAAACATCACCTTAAATTTGATGCAAATGCAATTGCAACCAGTACAATTTTATGAGGAGAGGTGTGATGTATGTTAAAGACCACTCCTGCAGCAGTTTCAGAGGTTTTACAGTTGATGCTGGAAGGACTGCTATGAGAGCATTCACAAGTCTGGATAGAACAAAAGCTTGGACAAGGATGCTCCGAATAGGAAGGGCTTGCCTGATCCTCCTAAAGTTGTATAAGGCAAATCTACAGGACAGGGCAGTTCTGGCAATGTGATTTAACTGATCGTCAATCACAACTCCAAGGTTCCTGACTGAAATGGAGTTATGGTTGACGAAGCTAAAGTTGTAATGTTGTGATGAAGTGCTGGATTGGATACATACATACACATATAGCCTACTCCACACACATGCAAGTACATATAATATATAGTATAAATATAAATACACACAAGTTCAAATTAAGTTCTTTGAAATGGAAAAATTGAGTTAATACAATGAAGGAGATTGATTTAAGAAACTCAAAATAGTATGTTATATGAACTACATAAATTATTTAAGTTGATTTGACAAAAGAAAACATGTTGTGGTTACAAATCATGAAAATATTTTTTACAGTGTACATTTAAGTACATTAATTTCACCGTAAGAAAAAAAGGTTGGTTTAACTTAAAAAAATAAGTTACCTGATTGCCTTAAAATTTTAAGTTGATTGAACTGGAAAAAGTGAGTTAACACAATGAAGGAGATTGATTTAATCATCAGAAACTCAAAATGTTGTTATCTGAACTAAATACATTATTTAAATTGATTTGACAAAAGAAAACATGTTGTGGTTACAAATCATGAAAAATTGTTTTTACAGTACAGTAATTTCACTGTAAGAAAAAAAAATGGTTGGTTTAACTTAAAAAATTAAGTTACCTGGTTGCCTTAAAATTTTAAGTTCATTTGAACTGGAAAAAGTGAGTTAATACAATGAAGAAGATTGATTTACGAATCAGAAACTCAAAATAGTATGTTATATGAACTACATAAATTATTTAAGTTGATTTGACAAAAGAAAACATGTGGTTACAAATCATGAAAATATTTTTTACAGTGTATATTTAAGTACAGTAATTTCACTGTAAGAAAAAAATGGTTTAAAACTTAAAAAATTAAGTTACCTGGTTGCCTTAAAATTTTAAGTTCATTGAACTGAGTTAATAAAATGAAGGAGATTGATTTAATCATCAGAAACTCAAAATTATATGTTATCTGAATTAAATAAATTATTTAAGTTGATTTCGACAAAAGATTTTTATACAGTGTACGAGCTTGATAAAAATGCTAATTTTAGAAGAAAAATTCAAATGGCACTTGGAGGCTTTTTCATCTGAAAACAACTGCACTGTAAAAAATATTTACTCCAATAATATTTTTACTAATATTTTTACTGCACTGTAAAAAAAATATTTTCAAAAGATTTGTTATCACAACATTTTTTCTTTTGTCAAATCAACTTAAATAATTTATTTAGTTCAGATAACTTATTATTTTAAGTTTCTGATGATTAAATCAACAATCTCCTTCATTGGATTAACTCACTTTTTGCAGTTCAATCAACTTAAAGTTTTAAGGCAACCAGGTTACTTCATTTTTTAAGTTAAACCTACAATATTTTTTACAGTCTGTGGTTATGCAGAGTAAATGATAAAGACTCACTCAAAACCTGTATTTTTATTTTTAAATTAAAAGGGACAACTTACATAATTTGTACATACCAAAAAAAAAAGAATAAGAAAAACAATAACTCCTATTACATCCTATAACTTGCGACCCAAAATTTTATTAGAACCCTTTTTTAACAAAACGAAAAAAAAAGTTTAGACTTAACCGTGTACATTTATTGGCATCCTTTCAAATGTTGACAGGTGTCCAATATAATTCTCAACCACCAATCACACATTCAAGTTTAGCCCTATTGTCACACATTTTCTTTCAGTAGTAAGGACAATTACATGTGTTAACACAAAATAAAGTATCCTGATATTGTGTGCAGAGGGAAGAATCATGGCCATCTCCATTTTTTTTCTACTCCAACACATTCACTTGGAAGTATCACCGACAATGGGAAAGAAGACAAGCCAACCAGGTTTGGAATATTCAAGTATTTCTGAATACATCATGGCTAAAAAATACATCTTTGGAGTGTATGAAGTTATTCAATAGTGTAAAATAAAACCTTAACATCAAACATATATAACTTGTGGACAGAAGATTTTCTTTATTATTAATTATTATTATTCTAGATGACAAATGTCAAACTACTGATAATCTTTTGACCCTAGTAACACTAATCTTTGCGGGAAAATTGCAGGATCCAAATATTATCAAATATGTGCTCTGCATTTATATGACTTGTCTATCTACATGTAGACCATGCTGCCAGTTTAGTTAACATCACTTTTAAGAGTAATATTATGCATACATTTTTATTAAACTATGTAACAGTCCTTTAATGGAAAATATAAGCGAATGGAAAATATTTCGGAATATTTGTGATTTTTCTTGAAAAAAAAAAATGACCTGAGCCAGACAAGTATGACCAGGATAATCAATTATCTTGAGAATATACAAACCACAATAACTTCCAAACCATCTGAGGTTACAGAAAATAAAGTACCCAGAATTAAATAAGACATACACTCCCAAACATACTGCCATTCGTCAACTCTTTTTCATTACTTGCACGAAAAAAGTAAAAGCATGTGGAAGAAAACTTTAAAGATGGAATAGTTTAAAGAGATTTGAGCTTACATCTCAATACAAAACATTTTATACAAATAAGAAAACCGAACGTTCTTGCCAACATTCAATATATTGGGTTACCTAGCTTAGCTTTAATGCCAAAACTACACAGAACACTGGTTCCATCCCATATGACTTGGTAGAGGTAAATATGAGTTATGGATGGTCAGGATTGATTCTAACGCTCATGCAGACCAAATATAATTCCAACAACCATAAGTGATAATGAAATCCATATGCAGTGATGTCAGAACTGGAGATAATTAAACTATTTACAGTGGAGCATCCAAATTCTCCCTGCTGGAATGGCTCGCCATCAATAGAACTGCATAACAATAAACGGTCCTTTTCTTAGATTGTTTCACAGTGCACATCATTTCCAAAGGGAAATGTCAAAGGGACATTACAATCTTATCCAGATTTGTTTTGGATTTCTACAATGATTTGGATTTTCTATTGGCCCTGCTATGCACCCATTCTTGTTATTGCACGTGACACATGGACCTTAAAATATACCAATGATGAATCAGAACAGGAACATGTGTGATCCAAGACGACAACAATAATCTCACTATGAAAAAAATTCACTCTTCCTGGATAAATTTAAAGTTCTCCACACCAAACAAACGATGGGTCCGTTTCCATCCTCTCTAAAATGTATTTCCATTCTTCATCGTTTTTTTATTCTCCCCTAAACATGCATCCAACTGGTTACCGGTAACACAGCTGACATCATCTCCCATGTTTGTGGTCTGAGTCCATGCTTGAGTTTGAGTCCAAGGTTAAAGTTCAAAGACCATATGATTTTAAAAAAAGTGCTTTTATAGGTCAGTAGGACTTCTTCCCTCTGGGAGTTCTAGAAAGTTCATATTAACAGGTATCATCTGTGAAAAAAGGCATGGATTAAATACATTTAAAATGCATTTCCGCTAGAAATGTTGTAGCAATTTTTTTTCAAATCAAACTTTAGTTCTTACCGTGATACCACCATTTTGTCTTCTTTGGATTTTTATTACATGTACGTACATAAAAGGAGTTGTCAGGTGGCCGCCGCTGGAAAGAAAAAAGCATAAATAAATAAAAATAATTACAATAAATATATATTTTTATATAAACTACCGTTCAAGTTTGAGGATGGCTTGCTTTTTTAATGTTTTTGAAAGTAGTCTCTTATGCTCACTAAAGCTGCATTTATTTGATCAAAAATACAGTAAAAACAGTAATATTGTGATGTTTTGTTTAACATAGCCTTTTACATTTTAATGGATTTTTACTCCCGAAAGCTGAATTTTCAACATTATTGCTTCGGTCTTCAGTGTCCCGTGAACCAGAAATCATTCATATATGATGATTTGTTGTTTAAGAAACATTTCTGATTATTATCAATTTTGAAAACTATGGAAGCTTGTTTCCGCCACAGAATGAAAAATAAAAAAGGACTTTTTCTCTCACAATTCTGACTTTTTTTTCTTCTCACAATTGCGAGTTTTTTTTCTTCTCAGAATTCTGACTTTACATCTCGCAATTCAGAGAAATAAAGTCAGAATTGTGAGATATAAAGTCACAATTGTGTGATATAAAGTCAAAATTGCGTGATATAAAGTCACAATTGCGTGATATAAAGTCAATTGCGCGATATACAATGTCACAATTGTGTGATATAAAGTCACAATTGCGTGATATAAAGTCAATTGCGCGATATACAATGTCACAATTGTGTGATATAAAGTCGCAATTGCGTGTTATTAAGTCAGAAAGAATTGCGTGATATGAAAGTCAGAATTGCGTGATATAAAGTCAGAACTGTGAGATTTAGAACTGTTCTGAGGGGGAAAAAAGTTAGTATTTTTTCCCCCTTAGAATTGGCCTGAATAACTCTCTAACCCTAATAAACTCGCCATTATGTGTTATAAAGTCAGAATTGCGAGATGTAAACTTATAATTGTGAGAAAAAAAGTCAGAATTGTGAGATAAAAAGTCGCACTTCTGTCTTTTTTTCTCAGAATTGCGACTTTATATCTCGCAATTCTGACTTTGTATCCCACAATTCTGACTTTATATCTCGCAATTCTGACTTTGTATCCCGCAATTCTGACTTTATATCTCGCAATTCTGACTTTATAACACGCAATTGTGACTTTATATCTCGCAATTCTGACTTTGTATCCCGCAATTCTGACTTTATATCTCGCAATTCTGACTTTATAACACGCAATTGTGACTTTATATCTCGCAATTCTGACTTTGTATCCCGCAATTCTGACTTTATATCTCGCAATTCTGACTTTATAACACGCAATTGCGACTTTATCTCGCAATTGCGACTTTATTTCTCACAATTCTGACTTCATATCTCGCAATTGTGAGATAAAAAGTCGCAATTATTTTTTATTTTTTTTATTCAGTGGCGGAAACAAGCTTCCACAGAAAACAGTTGTGCTGAATTTTTCTCATGATTCTTTAATGAATTAAAAAAAAGTTCAAAAGCACAGCATTTATTTAAAATAGAAAACTTTTGTAACTTTATAAATGTCTTTACTGTTACTTTTAATTAATTTAATGCATCCTTGCAGTATAAAGTATAAATGTATTAATTATTAATTTCTTATATATATATATATATATATATATATATATATATCCTTTTGAATGGTAGTGTATATACTACATATATGAAACTAGTTTACAGAGACAATGTTTGCAAAAATCAATGCAAATGTATGAAGCTTTTAAGCATTTTGGAGTTTCTTTTACATTTTGTCAAGAAAAATGTTTGAATAAGTGGGCGAATTGAACCGATTACAAATGCCTAAAAAAATTCCTGTCACTAAGGTCGTATAAACGGTCAAAAAGTCAGCGTTAAGACACGTTTATAATAAGTAAGCCATTGATTCAGAAAGGCACCAAATATAGCTGTGTGATGCGCTTAATGTCTTACTATTGTAACTTATGAACAAACACATCTGTTCCATATTAATGTGCCATTTTACACATTCATCTGCACTGTAACTTTAGAATCCAAACAGATACAATAACCAAAAGCTAAAAGATCACAATCTCAACGTTAACACCCACATGATTTTATTCCTAAATGACAACGATTCGGCTTTGTGTATTAAACATTAGACAAGTACGATCACAGGGAACACTCAAATCTCTGTTGGCACTTCCGCTGTAATTTAAATGATCACAGAAGTACTGGGATAAAGGTTTATAGTTCGGATATAAACACTGATATCTACGTTAGTGATAAAAATAGAGGAAACCACCTTTGGAAAGTAATTTGACGCTTCAAATAAAGATTGTATTAATTATATTACACCTGTAGATGGCGACAAGTTAAAAACATGTGTTTGTCATTGAAACATTCATTCAAGAGATTCGTTCAAAAACGCTCGCTGTGTCTGAATATGCTTCCAAAGTATATGGTAGGCATGTGAACTGAGTAGTAGAAGTATGTCAGAATTCTTAGTAATAATATAAAACAGTAGGTGAAAAGTCATACAATCATAACATTTAGATCATACATTTTTAACTGTAGCAATTAACATTTTTGCCAAAATAGTGGGAGAACCGTGATCTCTATTTAAACGGTGATTCTCAATTTATCCAGTTCTAGTAAAAATCAAGAAAACTATTGAATTGTGGCACGAGACACCTACCTTCTCTTTGCAGCTAGACAACATGCTAATAATGCTAAGACAAACAGACTGCACCGAAAGAGCTGGTGACCAATCCTCCGTTAAGATGGACAGGCAGATGTGGCCATTGCTATAAACATGGGGATGGACAGGTATATTGTCTCCTGTGAACATTACCTGTCAAAAAACAAAAAAATCTTTCAATATGGTACACTATATGACCATATGTGCTTACCTTGCTCCAAGCTGCTCTTTTCAATACAATGACAATAAATGGTGACCATCTGATAATTGATAGACACTTGAAGAAAACTTGAATGACGATGACACCACAGTTTACTGGAGAGCTGCCTTGGACCCAACCCAGATTGAATTGAACTAAATTGAATTAACATTGAACTGACTCAAATGAATAACACTATAGTTTTCTGCTAACTAATTTCATTATGGCCTTTACAGAGTCATTGAACTGAACTGAGAAAGTGTTTCAGCTGAATAATGACAGCAGAATTTAAAATGTCTCATATTTAATGCAGTTTGCATCATTGATTTTTTTTTTTCTGTTCATCGCTGCTTTGAAACAATCTGTATTGTATAAAGCGGTGATTTGACTTGACTATGTTGGTTGAGCAATATTTTCCATGAACAAAAAAGTGTTCCTCCCACAAAGCTATTATATAAATTCAGAGGACTTGATATTTAGTGCATTTAGTATAGACTATAATTTTATGATGCTTTTATGCTGATTTTTGTCCTTTTCAGAGCTTGAGAGCTACAGTCCACATTCACTTCATGGAAAAGAGCAGCATGCGCATTCTTCAAAACTTCTCCTTTTGTGTTTCACATAACAAAGAGAGCCGTTTGGATTTGGAACAACACAAGGACGAGCAAATGATGACAGAATGTTAATTTTGGGGTGAACTATCCCTTTAAATCATAAGCCAGTGCTTAGTCCTCACAATTGGCATGAGGCCACTAGATTAGGAGGTGGAGACAGAGACAGCCGGCTGAATGAGAAGCCGGCGCCAGATCCGGACTTACATACAGAAAAGCATAGAGCGCTCGTGATCATAATACAGCCAGTGTCTCACTTCCGATTAAATGCACTTAATGCACACAAACTCTGCAAGGGCTACTTCAGGAACAAAAAGGTTGTTCATCAGTCACTTTTAATCTTAAGTGCTTCTTTTATCACATGTAAAAGTCATCTTACCTTAGCTCCATTTAGACTTTGTATCAGCTCTAAACCATTAACAGCATTTCTGTCACTTATTCTAATGCATTTTTTTCGACTATAACAGTCCCTGCCTCCATAGAGTCATGCAGTTCTTAACTCTAAAGTGGCATGTGCGCTCGTTTATCTAATTTGGTCTATCCCGGTCTGTTATTTATAGTGGGACTGATATGTAAAATAAGATCAGGGCTAATCCCTTCAAATGTGGCCTTTAAATCCGCAGTCTACAAGTTCAATCTTGTGCAGATTGATCCTATTATTTTACTGTTGTAGGTGCAAAACAGACTTTAGTTGACCCTATAATGTAAACTTAGCTACTACAAATGAATATTAAAGTGAGTAAAGCAATGCACAAAGTTTGATTTTATGCAAATGAGCAGGTACATCCGTCTACTGTGAGTGATTGTAGTTGAGTGTAAGCAAATGGGTGAGAAATTAATGTTACCATGAGCGATCACACTTGTGTACATGAGTTGTCTCTGTCTACCTTTTTTTTGTTAACCGAAAGCTTAAATTAAATAAAATATAAATATTATTAGATGAAAAACCAAATGGATTTTTAAATGAAATAAGTATTGGTTAAAATATTAAAATAACCAATAAATCTAAAATTTCAATAAATCATTTACAAATATATATTTTTAAAACAGATACTTAAGCACTACTAAACTACTAAATGAACACTGAAAGAAAATAAAAGCCAATTCAAAATGTTAATAAAAAAATTATTATTATAATTTTTTATTATAATACAAAAATTAATATTGCAAATAAAAAAATATTCAAAAAATATATATATTTAGACTACGTTATATTATATCCACTTTATTTAGAATCAAATAAAGTTAATAAAAAATATTTCGAATTACCTGAGGCGAGTCAAAAGGATAACGACCACTAAATTTAAATAGAAGCTGAAATTTCTCCCCTTCATAAAGAGTACCAGATGCTCCTTCCATATCCACAATCCATCTGTAAAGACAAGCAGAAAGACATTACAGTTTGTTTATTCGCTTTGGTACTTTAGGTGCACATTTAGTCCAAAAATCCAAACTAATTACACTTGTAACACAGCTAGTCATTCTTTCAAAACCTGATCCCATGCGTTCATAACAGCTATACACATTTCAGTCCACTATCGTTTCAAACACAAGATTATTGCAATATGGGTAGGTTTAGGTCTGGGGTAGTGTTAGGGTTAGACCACTAGGACGCGCCTTCTGGCCTATATAAATCTGTGTTTCACATTGATGATAAAGGGTGCCATCCATGTGTGTCAGATGTACAGTAGACGCAATGTCAAAACCGTCACCTATATGATGCCTTGGGGATGAGACCGGGCTGGATATGACGTGGCTCGACTGCAGATTTTATATACATCATTATACTTTGTAATCCAAAGCAGCCAAGTTTACATTTTACTGTTCAAGAAAGAGCCATCATTGAAGTAGACCAACGCATTCTCATCCTTTAGCATCATATAGGTGACGCTATATGAAAAAAACAGTGAAATACTACACACATGGCACCCGTTATTGTTAATTAATATCATTAATATCGTTAATCACCTATATGACGCTAAAGGATGAGGGCTGGGTAGACCGTCAATCTGAAAATAGTGTGTTTTTGTCGCTTTAAGAAATGCGTGTGCATGATCGTTTTTTTCATGATGCACGAAACGGGAGGGAGGGGCGAGCTAATTTGGTTTGTTTGGGATCTCGCTCCAAACACAAACAGAAGTGATGTTACCCACAATCGCTGATACAACCTTTAACTTCAGCCATAAAGAGAGAGAGACAGGAAGTAGCAAAATAATGAGCAATGAAAGACAAGACAACCATTAAATATCCAGATATAAACAATAAGGGAAGTGCCACTATGTCAGCGGTCAAACAGATGATGGCTCTTCCTGGCAGAAAATACTTGACCCAAGACATTCAGGTCAATTTTAAGTCATTTTGGCTATCATAAACTTATAGAGTGCAATTAAACAAGCCTTCCTAGTGACAAAGGTATTTAAGTGAGAGTGAAAATGGACAGAAAACTAAAGAGGGAGGGGATTTTCCTCACTCGACACATGGGACTCACTGGGATATAATATCTCTGTGTGCTCACAGCTCACATGTGTGTCCTTCACTAATGCAAAAGCATAGAGATTACTAGCATAAAAGGCCTGATATCACTGGAGGAAACATCTGGCACAGAGAGCCATATAAATTTGGTTAAATGGACAAACTTTAGTTTTTGGGAACAGAAATGCAGATAATTTCATGTTGACATGTTAGCCTAAAATGTAACAAATACATATATATGCATTTAAAAATATATTATTGACAGATTTACCCATATTTAATGAATGAATCACAACTTAATTTAGTAGAAGCACACCCCTAATACAAGCATACATTTAAATTGGCAATATCAATGTCAGAACAACTGGAAATAGAAAATTCTTGTAAGTAACCGCAGCGTCAGATAAAGTCAAGTGACATCCACAAGGCCATTTTCCTGCCACAGCATTATCATTTCAACAGCAGCAGTTTGTTTTCAGAAGAGTGAGAACATTCCAGAGGCAAAGTGAAAATATTCCTGGACCATCAGTGCTGCGTCGGCACAGGAGCTCACATTTCTGCCTTAGTTGAATGGAACATTATTTCACATGAGAGAAGATGCCTTCATAGATGGTAGGGGTGTGATCAGTGGCGGTTCTAGACCATTTCAACTGGGGGGGGCCAAGCTGGGGCCAGTTGTACTGTTAGAGAGGCCAGTTACATTTAGACCTTATCATTTTCTGCACTGCACTGAAGGCATAAACAAGCAAAATACCATGTTTATAATTATCCAACAATTTGCATTTCCATTATATTTTTACATTTGCATTACATATTCAGTATCAGTCACAGTAGCTGTATTTGAATTTCCATTATATTTTTTTTTACATTTAAATATATATACAGTATTCAGCATCAGTCACATTAACTCTATTCTACGATTTTTGTGTTTTTTTTTTTTTTTTTTTTTTTTGCAAAAAGGGGGCTTTCCTCTCAAGGTGAATGAGCTTTTTCATAATTGTTTTTTTCCGAACATCTTTGAAAGACAGAAGCAATAATTAATGCATCCTTGGCCAGGATATAATTATAAAATATGACATGATTTTAAAAGTGACCTATAAAATCGACTATGCAATACACTTTAATTTCTAGTGCTAATAAAAGTATTAAGCCCATTTGGAGAGAGAGATGTTTATAATGTGACAATATGTCAGTCATCGTGTAATAAGGAAAATATGACTAGGCCTAGACTACTTGTTCTGAGCAGGTGTTGTCAGGCTGTAAAACTGTTGTCTACAGACTGATACTTATTAACTGGGAAACGTTCTCTAACATCAGTCAAGTTGTCATTGTTTTTGTCAAACAAGTTGCAAATTTGTTGTAACATTAAAACAGGAGATCATGACTTACTCCGTGCTCTAAGTGATGTTCGGAGCTCCAGTGATTAGTTTCATCTGTGGGACGGGTGAAGAAACTTTCGGAAGATGTTGTAACAGAATCATATGAACAATTCCAGGATATGATTTTTTTTTTCATTGGTTATTGCGTTAAATTTTACCCAGATACAGTGCCCTTTTCTGATCGGCTATTAAGTAGCATTTCTCTTTTTTTGATTGGCTGATACGTGGCAGGGTCGACTGCTGAACTCCAGGCGAGACGCGCTTGATTCTCACGTGAGAGCGGCGCGGCCAGAGAAATTGCATATATTAAATATAGCCTATTATTAGTTTTTCCGCATGAGAAATACAATGTGTGACAGGAGTGTGTGACAAAAGACTGAAACGAGTGACTGTCACGCTCAATGCATAACAAAAAAAAATATTTCACACTGACTCCACATTTAGGGGGGCCACAAGGGGGTCCAAGCTTGTTGTCGCAGGGGCACTGGCCCCCCCAGGCCCCCACCTAGAACCGCCACTGGGTGTGATTGTACTGAAAAATGATCGGTGCAGGACTTTCCATTCGGTACACATATGTAGAGAACTTCTCTGTGTGGAACGTAACTTCAAAGTTTTCCCATAGGATCGGACAATATCGTTTATATCGATGTATACATTGATGCTGCGACCACATCTGAAAAGGACACAAATTGAGCGGGTGGCGGATAAGTGCACGATCCATGTTAACTTAAACATGAGAGGTGCTTTACATAAAGCGCTTCAAACTAATGCTGCCTTCATATCAGAATTACACACACTTTAATATTGTAATGAGATATTCTATTGCTTGAAAAGTAATAATATATCTCATATAACTTTTCAATTTTAAAGGGGTGGTTTACTGTTTTTTTTTTCTTTGCATGATTGTGTTTATGGGGTGCAATATAACATGTATTCGTGATTTTTCTTTTTTAAAAAGTAATTTTTCATAAATTTCACCTATAAGCCGCTTTCTCCTCTGTCATTTGAACGACTGATTGACTTCCTGAGTCTATGAAACCACTCCCTCAGAAAAAGACAGTGGGCTCAGATTGGTTAGTTTGGGCGGGTTTGTTGATTGGCTAAACTGTAGCTCAGGTTGTCCGGAAAATTCACGCCCATTACCTTTATGGGCGAGAGTTGCATGTGTTCCTGTCAAATGTAAATAATGGTGTCGATACTGCAGTTTCAATCTCTAGTATGAGCCAGAATCAGAAAGCGGTAATGAAGAGAGACAAGCAGAACCTCACCACACACGGCTCTTACAAAACATTTCTGAATGGTAATTTGCCTATATTTTTGAACTTTATAAACGTTTGTTTTACACAATAGCATCAAACTGACTGGCTACTATACACACAAACAGCGTTGGCATTGGTTTACGTTCTTGATCAAATCGAAAAACAACACCACAAAGTATATATATATACATAAAAAATACAATTACAAAATTAGTACATATACAATTTCAGGTCTAAAATGTTTGTACGCGTTTGTTGTAGACACGAAATAGTATAAATAAGTGGCTATAAAGCCAGCACTGGCATTTGATAAAACTAAAACATTACGTCTGAAACATGCAAACACATTTAAAATGATTAAATCTTAGCCTACTTATAGGTTGTGGCCCAACAACAGCTGCCTTTAGTTTTAAAGTTAGAACTGCTTCATGTTTTAGTAACAGTTTCTTGTTGAATCCGGTGTTGAATTCGTGGTGATTCTGGAAGCTGTCTTCCGTAAAATGCGCAGCACAGAGAGCTAAATTACGATTGTAATTTCAGGAACATAATTAAACATAAATTGTATCCATTTTTGAGGAGGGGCCGGGAAAAAAAACTCTGCCCAATATTTTATTTTGAATTGCAGTACCCATTTCAACCACTAGCTGTCAACATTACATACTGCATCTTTAAATATAGCAGAGGGGAGAACGATTGCTGCTGTGACTGGTTTTATTTATTAGTTTTTTCCACAACAGCTACATCCCTTGTCTTGGCATTAAAGTAATGCATGCAAGAAAATAGCATGTATTTGACCTAAATTAAAATCTAAATAGTGTGGTAAATGTTTGCTCATCAAAGAATGTGACGCTACATTTTATTCCAAATTAAATGTCTTCAATAAATTTTGGCTTTAAAGTCCCCGTGAACCGGAAGTTGCAAACGATTTTTCTCCAGTGCTGTGACGTATTTCCAAGTGAAACGGAATATTGAACAGAGGGCAGGGTTTTCCTCTAGCGCTCCTCCTCTCCATCTCTCGCTCATAGCAAACTAACGGTTTGAGGGGAGTGGTTAAGCGTTTCCCCACCCAAACTGTGAAACCTACGTCATCAGAAAAAGAAACCGTTCCAGACCGGAAGTAACTTTTCAGATTTTGATTAAAAGATTACTAAGGTAAAACATTTTTTTAATATATATTCACTTGCACGGATTAATTGTTCACCACAAGACTAGTAATATGCGCTAACAAAGTAAATAGGTTCAATTTTGATTTCACGGGGACTTTAACAAGATTTCCCCAAGAAATAGGCTAAACCTGGGGTCCAATATGATTCCTGTTCTTTTCAACAAACCTTCTATTGCCTTTCATTATATTTATTGAGTTGGCTCATGGGTTTTAGATTCAGAAATTTGACGTAATTTACGGTAAGGGAGCATATTGAGTATTGATGCTCCCTGGTTTTTAAGATGCATTGTGGGATTTTTTAGGGAATGTTCCAGTGCACTGGAATGATTTTGCGATTAAGACAGCCCTTTAATGGCCGACGCCCTAATTAGTGCCCTGACTACTGAACTAGGGAGAGGATCGAGATCCATACACCCATAGAACGTGATTATCGTCTGATACCGATCGATCGCAGCATCCCTCCAATATGTGATTGAAATTAATCAGCACAATTATTGCAGTTATCTAAAATATTTGCAATTAAATTGTATAACCATGATGAAACATGTTATCAAATCGCTACAGGTAATACTGTTCAAATGCATCTTAAAACAAGGTTGGATTGGGTTGGGCTTGCTTCAACCCACCACAACTGCTCTCAAATCAAATCTACATCACAGATAACATCCTCCAAAAAACGTATAACAATTACACCAATTAGACAGGACAAACACGTTTGGCAAGCTGCTAAACTTTAGCTCATACCTGACATTTTTTTGACAAAACACGAACCAAGACAAGGCTACAAGGCTGAATAAAAATGCTAGGCTAACCCACATTAAATTATGTTCCTGTAACACCGACCAGAGTTACGTAAAAGAAAACCTTGGCTGTCAAAACCTTATAACCCTTGGCTGTCAAAGTTTAGCTTTCTGAAACCGAGTAATTATGTCAATCATTTATTCCCATTATTACTGCAGCACAGAAAGACATAAACACATACTGAAGTCAGCTCGTTTCCACATAGATGCACCACTGTCCACTAGACTGATTATATTTGAGATTCAGATATGTAATCCTTTCTGAAACAATGTGATGCATCTTTTTTGCCTTGTGACAGTTTTTTCTCAAAAGACTGCTATATATATATTTCTAGACACAGATACGACCATGCACAAGCCAAAAAGAGGTCAGTAAGGTTTGTTACAGCAATACTACCCTCTCGAGCTTTAATTTTTGATTAGTCAGAGCAGACATCACTGTACATCGGGCACAGCAGCCTAACACATGACACCGCTTGGGAAATGTTTTGTTTAAAATTTAGAACATATGCCCACAATGGGTGAGAGTTTTCCAGGCCTGACAAAACAACAATAGCATAATGCAAAGAGTCATTTTTCACTTTAAAATATGACAATCCCTGATACAGGGCGGCTTGAGATAAGAAATCCAGCCTGTTAATAAGTACACCATGATCACACACATGGGTATAAGATTAAACAAAGGGTTAGGAAGTGTTGGCCTTACTGTGTGATGGTGTTCTGTACGCTCTTCTCATTTAGGGTCATTCCAGGGGGTGGATCATTCTGCAAGGCTAGCAGTTCTTTCTGTAACCTTTTCTGTTGAGAAATTGAGAGAAAGTATTGAACAAAGAAAGGAAAGAAAAAAAAAAGAATCTAAAGCAGAGGTTATTAATTAAATAAGACACTTTAATCTAAAGAATATGCCAGGAATATATCAGTCCAAAATAGCTCTTCAAATTAAACATTAAGTAATAGAAAAATAAAAAAAATATTTATTAAATATTTGTTAAGAAAATATTATTACAATAAGATGAATCACATCTAAAATAAAAGGTTTGTGTAAATAATAATAATAATAATAATAAGTAAACCACACAAATATTACATAAACAAAAACTATATTAGATGTGATTAATTGATTTAATAGCACTAATTCGTGCATTGCAACATCACAGTATAATATAATTTGTAAAACTATTAAAATTCAGCTTCAAAACATTAATTTGAATGTAGATATTATATTAGCGCTGTCAAATTGATTAATCACATCACACAAAGGTTGTAAATATATATTCTGTGTGTTTGAGTGTGTGTATATATATATATATATATATATATATGTGTGTGTGTGTGTGTGTGTGTGTGTGTGTAAACTTTTAAGTTAGATTCGATTCATCCATTTGACAGCAATAATAACCACTGAGAAGTGTGGCAACAAACATAGCCTATTTTTTCAATTGCCAATATTCTATTCAACATAAAACAGTGATACTGAATAATATTAAGTCAAGTTGAATGAAAATATAACGTCATGTCTGCAGTCACAAATAACCTTGCAAGGCTGGATAAAAATAAGTAGACATATGATTTCAAGCAGTTAAAATAGCAAACACCTGAAAGTTGTAGTAAGAAAGCGTTGATTCTACTCATTACATCCACTGTGTTTGTGGTAAATCAGTAGTTTATGTGAGTCCTGCTCGCCAGCTGTTGCTTTTAAAGCACCGATAATTCTCACCCTGACAGCTCAGAAACAGCGAGGAGGACAAGTTATGATTTCAGAAATAACACAGCAATATTCGATCCCCTTATTAGGCGTATCCAAAAAACACCATTTACACTATCAGAGACGACACACTCGACACCTGATCAAGAAGTGATTGATGGATTAAACAGGGTTAGTTGTCAGCTGTGGTCTTACCTGCATCGACGCCATGATGGATCCCCCTGCATCAGTGGCGCACAGTAACGCAAAGCGACTGACGTCACCGTCACGTGACACACGAGAGCTCCTGTTTTCTGAAAACACGCTCTGAAGGTATGATAGTCCAAAATTACGCTAATAATTGAATACTAGTTAAATGTTAAATAATCATAGCGATAATAAATAATAAATACCTATTTCACTATTCAGAAGAAAGTCACGGGTTTCGACAGACTTTCAATATCAACAATTTTATTTTCGGTTTAAGTATTCGTTTTAATCGTAATAAGTTAATCGTGTGTTTATTCATTATGGATAGTTGTAATTCATAAATATTGTTATTTTTAATATAAATGTATATTACTTTTTTATTAGTCTGTCACAGAAGAAAGTCACATTTGGAATGACTTGCTTTCAATAAACAGATTTTTTTACACTTTTTAATTATTATTAATTCATTAATAATGGTTTATTATATTGAATAGTTATAATTAATAAACATATATAATTTTTTGATAAATATAAATGTACATTATTTAATTATTCTGTAAAAAAAATTGTCAGAGCAAAGAAGGCCACATTTTTGAACAACTTTCAAAATACAGATTTATTTTTCAGGCGAAGTATTCAATATTTATTTATTTATTTATTTTTAAGATTTTATTATTTCTGGTGTATTATCTTTTTAATTTGTTCATTAAATATTAATTCATTAATATTATTATCTATTAATACATATTAAGTCTATTAATTAATTATTCAGTGAATGAAGAAAGTCAGTAACCTGGGTTTGGAGCGACTTTTAACATTTTTGGGTGACTTTTTTTATCAACATCCTTTTAATGTGGCCATAATCATGTCATAATTTGAAGGATATAATAAATATTTGTAAAAAATTATTTCCTTTACCCTGTGTTCAGATGCACACCATTATGTATTTTTGGTTTTTGCTGTAAAACAGAAAGACACAGCCAAAACAAAAAGAGGTGTGACTCTGAGGTGTTGGTTCATCCACATTTATTCCTTTTGCGAGACGAGGACAACTGCAAACGACTTGAAAATACAAAATGAATGTAAGACATTTAAAAACTCTGCATACAAAACAAACTCTCTAGTTATTTCAAAGTACAACATAACAACAAAAAACTAAATTGACCAATAAAGCGAATCATTTATAAATACAAACTCAAATATCACTGAAACATTATGGCAACCAAATGGCATGAATGTTGGTCACGGCATAACACATACTCCTATTCCAATCTAACAGTCCAGGAAGTTCGCAGCCATGAGGAGTTCCAAGGCAATCTCAGGAGCAATGGGAAATTCTGGGATTTCTGTTGAGCTGTTTGTGTAACGCACTTTATAGGTAAAATACATGCAAACTTTGGAGAGAACATGAGATGGGATCTCCCGGAAGTTCACTTCATTGGTTTCATTTTCAGCAAACTGACCTTGAAGTAAACATGTAAAATGTTAGAACGTCCTCCTTCTAATCAAATATCACAAAAAAATAAGTGATGGAAGAATTCCACAATAAACAAATGCTGTTTCATCACAGCAGGACTTTGAACATGTTCCATACTCACCAGGTCCACTCAGCATAGCCTTGATTGTGCCAGAGGTTAACGCGTGCTCTCGCTTCACAATAAACTCTTGCCCGTCTGAAGAGATCAGCTTTACATACATGGCATCTGGGCCCTCACAACCACCAAAAGTCCTTTCTTCAATATCTGCTGGAAAATGTTATATGAACACTTTAGGGGTAAATGAAAGCTAAACCGACTCACATTTACCAGAACAGATCATTTTGACAAGAATGAATGGATGAATAATGAATTGATGAGGATCCAACCATTAAAAGCATCTCTGCAAATAGTACACAAGCTTATCAAGACAGTACAGTTTCCTATTTGCAAATAAATAACAGTCCAATACAAACCCATTGTTTCACAGGCACTGTGTTATTCCTGCAAACAACAGAATAATCAATTATTATTAGTCAGCATATGTGAAGGAGAGAGAAATAGAAAGTTATGAATTTCAAACAAAATTGTGAGATATTATATGATGACCAGGTTGAATCCTTATTAGGTTTTTTGGTAACACTTTACAATAAGGTTTTATTAGTTCATATTAAATTAACTACATTACTTAACATGAACTGCTCTTCTTCAGCATTTATTCATCTTTGTTAATTTCAACGTTTACTAATACATTATTCAAATCAAAAGTTAAGAAACATAAACAAACGATGAACAACAGCACTATTTTTATGAACTAACTTTAACAAAGATTAACAGATAAGTTACTGTAACAAATGTATTGCGCATGGTTAGTTCGTAACATTAACATACATTAACTAATGTTAACAAACGAAACCTAAGGGTTTTTTTTTACTTATTAACGCGTGAACAGTAACCAAAACCGCGAAAGTCTTCTCGAAATATTAGTTATTTTATGTAATTATTCTCTTTTGCTGTACTTGGCCATTTCATGTGTTCTTATTCTTTAAACAGTCTCATAAGTGAACATTGTCACGGTCAAAACAGTAAGGGGGCGTTTGACGAATAATTTTGAAAACGATAAATCGCAATATCACATCGTTTCTTCTCTGAGTGGATCAATTAATACAAATCTATATTATTGTGACTAAAAATGTACAACTGTCACACTTACCACGAATTTAAAACAAGTTGAGAAACACAGGCGCTGAGTACAACTGAACACTTCCGGTTGAAAAATGTCCCTCATAAATAAAAGTCCCCCTATGTGTAATTGAACCATGGCGTGTGAAATTCAAAAATGGGATTTAATTTTGCACAATCTTCGGAAACATTAGAAATTAATTAAATAACTTGAAATAATTATGTAATTCTAATATACTGATACAAGTTATTCTAACAAAGGTAAGCGCAGAAACTCACACTGCAGATTTAGTTCTTAGTTTAGTTGCATTCTACATATAAATAGCACAAAAAAACAACAACATAATAATAAAAATAAAAAAGGCCAACAGCAGGTGCAAATTGTACCCATACTAGAAACAGAACTAACATCCATAAAAAAAAATTGCCCTAATATAAAATCTTGATATGAAAATACAAAATTTTGATATGATTTCTCTTTCCATAGCATTATTGGTCATAATTAAGTACTGCATTTTCATGACTGTGGGGTGGGTCATATGAATTTGGGTCAGTGAATTTTTTGGACAAAAAGTAAAAAGGCATACATTTTCCACACAAAAAAACGATTTTTATTCATGACAATGATTAATATTTTTTAAAGTAACATTTTCCCTGTAGATTATCTGTTGTGGACTGCTGCTTTGAACTTAAAAGTGTATCCAGAGTCAACAGGACTGTCTGGGAATGCAAAATTTCCCTCTGTTTCTGGTTGTGTCAACAACTATCAACCAAAATCGTCAAGATTGACGGCATCTGATGGAGTCACTGCTCAGTGCTCAGTATAATGGTGACTGATGATTTGAGTCTTGCTAGGTCTTGCTTGAGTCATCCACAGGTCTTTTTCTTTCAAAGCAGGAAATGGTATTTTGAGATCTTATCTTTTGACTTTTGCTACTATAGGTCCTTAATAATAATTATGTTTTGGGCCCACATGGTAGGCCTACTTTTTTGCCCAAGAGCTCTAAAAAAATAGTGTGTAGGGGAGGTTGCAACGTAAATGGCTTGGGTTAGATGTTTTTTAGCAGAAGGACTGTAGACTGAATGGGTATTTATTTTCCGTGCCCCATTATCCATGCTACGGCCAAAAAAGGTAGATGCCAATCAATCCATGTTTCTGGATTGGACTCCAATTCGATGCATCTCAATCTTTTTTTTTTTTTTTTTTTTGGTAATTAGGCTTATGAAAGCTAAAACTTATTTCTGTTCTATGTAGTTATTTTTCTATAGAACATACAGAAGGCTAAATTTAATGTTTTTAAAGCCAATTTATTAAAGCTACAAATATGGTAGTTTAAGAAAGTTAGCAATTTTTTGTCAAATATAGCTTAGTGTATTGTTGCTAGTTTATTTATTTTTTTTTTCTAAACGTAGTTTAGCAGTTGACATTTTAGTAAGGACACTATAGCACATTTGGATTTTTTTGGGAGCAAGGCCATGACAACGCAGGCTATTTCTGCCTATTTGTAGTACAGTGCTAAAGGTTTTTTGGCTGGAAAATAAATATTTTTAAAAAAGTACACGGCTTCACTGTCAATGACCCACATTCTCTTATGTCAATGTACTGTTTCTATTGTTTTAGTGTGTGTGCTCTGAGTGGGTCATGTGACCAGAGGAAGGCGATTCTCGAGATCGTAAACAACATGGCGCGTTACGAACCAGGAGAATCTTAAAAACAACTCAGGGAAATAGAAGCGCTCGGGATACTGAAATCCCACGTTTACAAGCTTCATTTTTGACAACACTATTTTGTGGTTATTTACCGAGGTTTTGCAGGAAGAAAACAAAGTAGTAAAAGAGCTGTCAAAGCGCTGTTATCAAATAAATTGGTAGGTGTCTCTCTTTTGTAGGTCGCTTACAGTGTGCTAGCGTGAGCGCTAACTTATAAACAAAATGTTGTTTTGGTTAAATATTTACTGTAATTAGGATGCTTTTACGTATTTTGCTCTTTTAAACTCTTAGTTTGTAAATATACTACCACTATATGAAGTGTTCGCCCCATGTCAATTGCTGTTTGTTTGCAATTATAGCCTGTCATTTTAGCATGGTCGGCTGTCAGTTATATCACAGACTTTTGTCAGCTGCATGTCAGCATTTGTTTAACGTTACCTAATTTAAATCGCCTCTTTCGTGTAAAAATTTCTCAAGACAAAAGTACTGACGCACTCCCTCAATAAATGCATAACATCAGTGTTTTTTTCGTGATATAAAATGCATTGTGACATGTTAATCACAACTTTATGGACAGACAGGTATATCTTGGGTGTATATCCTCTTATTTGCAGTAATACTAAAATATGATGTTCAATATCTTAATAATCCTTGCATTATTTATAATAAATGCTTCGTATCTTTTCTTTAAGTTATCTATGCTTTAGTATTTTTCAAATCCACATCTCAGACATGTTAAAATGCACAACAAAGCCATTTTAAAGTCCATCTTTCTATCTTTTTTGGCACTAATTTAAAGTACGCTGTTGTCCAGAAAGAAGTTTGTTTGAAAGATATTAATTCAGCAAGGATGCATTAAATTGATCAAAAGTGAAAGTAAAGGCATTTATGATGTTGCAAAAGATTTTTGCTTCAAACAAATGCTGTTCTTGAACTTTCTATTCATCAAAGAATCCTGAAAAATGTTAAGCAACACAACCATTTTCGTCATTCATAATAGGAAATGTTTCTAAATCAGCAAATCAGTATATTAAAATGATTTCTAAAGGGATAATGTGACACTGAAGAATAATGATGCTAAAAATGTTTTATTGTTTGAGCGTATGTCATATTATTCACTTAATTACTGGTGTTCAATGTCTTTAAGGAAATTCTAGCCTTGTATATTGCTTTTTTTATAATGTCATGAATGTGAATTTCTGTATTGCTTATGACTAAATAAGTATTTTTTTTTTTTTCCAGACAATCAGTCTATGGGCTCTCAGTCCAGTTCTGGGATGTCCGGTCGGGGCTCTGGTAACAACCCAGACCAGTCAGAACCCGAACCCAACCAGAACTCTAATCAGACGGGTAACACACAGGCAGAGAGACAGGCAGAATCTGAAGAGGACGTTGACTTAGCTCAAGTTCTGGCGTACCTACTGCGGAGGTAAAAAACCCACATGACATTTATTAAGAGATACCCTTTCATCGGCTGCATTTTATACACGTTTTGCAACCCTACCACTTCCTCTTTTTTTATTCAAATTGATATTTCAAATTGTTTCTTTTTTTTCCCTCTACTATAGGGGCCAGGTGCGCCTGGTCCATGGAAGTGGAGCGACAGGCCTGCAGCTTGTGCAGTCATATTCAGACTCTGATGAGGACAGCGATGGGGCCTGGGATGGGCGGTTAGGACATCGATATGATCCTCCAGGTGAGTATAATTCACTCTATGCACAATTGCCAACACATTTAGCCCTTAGTTGCTACTAGCTCAGTGTATGGAAACTGTAAGAAAATTAAGCTCTAAATTAAATCTTGAGGAAGTGTCCCACAGCAGGACAAAGCAATCCATGCTTACGCTAAAGGTATTTAAAGCTTCTGGGACTCATTATTAACACTTTGTTTTAATATTCTGTAGAAACTCGGTGTGCACAGACTCAATTCCTGCCTTCGTTGTTATCTATAAAAGTGAGAAATGGTGCCATGAATACCTCTGCATACACACTTCTGTGGTAATTTACTATGCCTTATTTATTCTCACTCAGTGGATGCCCAACCAGACACACAGGAAGTGGACCGCAGTGAGATCCACACTCAGATCATGCTTGCCACTGCTTCCTCAGGCTTAAAGGGCAGATACAGTTTCACACATATGCTGGCAGAGGTAAGATGTGTTTATACTTGTGTATCTTTCATTTACAGGATATTTCTATCACAGATTCGTGATAAGGAATTCAGAAAATGTATATTTTCGCATGTGGCTGCAGCCAAATTATCAAAAGATATGCATGGTTGAGTTCAGAAGTGTACAATTTACTATAATCTAACTGTATTTCTTTCTAAAGCGGGAACAGGGACGTTGTCGTGGGTCAAGTTTTTCTCATGGAGAGTGCAGCCGTATCCGCTCACAGTAAGTGTAATATAAATGCTGTGCTACAACAATAATAGTCCATATTTTATTATTCAATTGTGTCAGTGGAGTCAATAACATTGTTTTAAGTTGCTTAAGGTGCTTTATGAAACCGGGCATAGATACTCAGAGTCAGAGAAAAACTGGCACAGATGTTTTTACATTTCAAATTCTTTCTCCTTCTAAAACCTAAAATCAGTCTTTGCATACATGTAGTAATCCATATTTGTTTCTTTATAGTTTCTTGCCCAATCATGTGGTTTACAAGGACACTTATCAGCAGAAAGTTTTTTGTGGAGTCTACAGTGATGAGGGAAACATGTTCCTGTCTGCATGCCAAGGTGAAATTGCAATTCAAGACTTTGTTATTAGTGTTGTTTTTATGCTTAGTATTTTCCAAATGCACATCTCAGACATGTTCAAGTACATAACAAAGCTCTACTAAAGTCCTGTGGTGTAAACATTTCTGTCTTTAATGTTAGTTTTGTTCATTTTAATTTTGTTAACTTAAATTGTTAACAATTGAACAATTAAATTAAATAACAATTAAATTGATGACAATAAAGACAATTATAATGTTACAAAAGATTTCTATTTCAAATTAACTTTATACCTATCAAATAATCTTGAACAGTCCTCCAAAATATTAAGCAACACAACTGTTTTCAACTTAGATAATAATAAGAAATAGTCATGATGCTGAAAATTTAGCTTTGCAGGAATAAAATGCATTTTATAAAAGCAATACGCCTTATTCACGGCAGCGCCATCTTTGATTTTTAATGAGAATGAAAGCGAGGCTGTGAGGGATAGACTTGCATCTCTTCAATGGGCTGTACTGTTATTTAATGTGTTTTTCGGATTGTTCTGCTCATGAAACACTGGAAAAATATCTTTCAAAGAAATGTCAGTTTACAAAAAACTCCCGACAATGTAAGCTGTGGAAAATTATAAGTAATCTAGCCGCTTTATTCAGCTTTTTAGAGCGGATGCCATTGGAAACACAGTAAGTCTAACCCTCACAGCCTCACTTTCATACCTGTCATGGCGCTGCTCTGAATAAGGTCTATAAGGTGAGAGGCTGTGCTGTATCGTGAATAAGTAACGGCTGAAGGGCGTTGTTAGGCACGACGTGAAGTGGAGTAACCCCTACAGCCGTTACTTATTCACGATACAGCACTTGCCTTGCTTTTTTAAAACGGTTACCACACAATAAAAATATTAAAGTAAAAATAATATGTATTCGTGCAACTTTCATAACGTAAAACCACTAAAAGCCTTCTTTCCTCGAGAAAAAAATAGTTCCTGACCGTGAACAGCAACAACGTTTCAATGTGTAATATCCATGAAAGCTCAAATAAAAACAACATAGGAACTGCAGTGTTGCGCAGTGATAAATAGAACCTTTGGATGAAGCGGTCATAGTCGTGCTTTATCATGAATATCGACCAATGGGCTATATGCACGCATAAGTTCCGCATTTGACGTAAGGATGCTCGTCAGTTTCCGGTTGTGGAGATTAAAGCGGAGGAAAACCGGGGAAAACAGGATTATGGCAGAGTCTTCAAAATTTACTGTCCTCCAGTCTTTGAAACGAAACTTTTATATGTTTAGGTGTAATTTTATATATAGTTATGATTATTTAATATAATTTTAAAAAGAAGCATAAACACAACGAGGGGTGTCTGTTTTGTCTGTTTTTGTGACTAACGTTTCTTTAGTATAACCATGGAGTATAAAATTCAATATAAATTCTGGATATTGTATTGGACTCTACGATCGGCGGAAGTTATCGAGCAGCCGTGCATAGAGCCCATTAGAATCAGCTATCGGCCAATGAGGATCAAGGATTGGAACTAATCGTTTTATAAAATATATTAAAATTGAAAATATTTCTGTGAACGCGGGCGATCAACACATGCACTCTAGAAAGTCTAATCTTTGTCCAGGGTGTGCTATTTTTCACCATAAGTAATTACTGATAAAATGTCTTTGTATTCTTTTAAACTAAAATTGTGTCAATACACAAGCACTTTTCAATGTCTATTTAAGTTGCAAACTATTTTGTTGTTTAGTCTCTTTAGTTTAGTTTTCTATTGTGAAACGATGGCCCAGGCTTAGGACACCTCTTTCAAAAACATAACTTACTGACTCCAAACTTTTGAATGATAGTCCATGACTTATAACCTATTTTTTCTGTCTCTGTTTTTATAGACCAGAATATCAGGTTATATGATACTAGCAGGGGTCGTTTTGCTCTAAAGAAGACAGTGAAGGCCAGAGACGTGGGCTGGAGCATTCTGGATGTGTGTTTTACACCTGATGCACGTTGTGTGCTTTACTCCAGTTGGTCTGACTACAGTAAGACAGGGACAGGTCACTTAAGCTGTTTTGTTGCCACTGTTGTCATTGACTGTTCTAATGCACATGTGTCTGTGCTCTCTCTTTCTTTAGTTCATGTGTGCAGTGTAGATGGGGACAATGAAACACACACCGCTCTGGACCTCAAGTTAGTGTTTCCTCATAGTACATTATAGCATTAAAATTCAGGTAATCACCGGTACGCTTCCTCTTCATGTGGATGACAAACAATAGATTAGATTTCCATAACCGTTAATTACAACATCACATGACTGTGAGCTAACCAAAATCGAACACGCTGGCAAAGTGAAATCTGAAGGAAGTGTTGCAGAAGTAACACTCGATTCTCGATATGTAAGAACAGCAATCCTCCTATATTTAAATTAAGTAAACTGTCATAACTATGCTAATAATGCCAATTGATGACTTTTCCAGCGTGTCTTTTTTGCCTCTCCCATTATGACATCTTCTCTGCATTGCATGACATTTAGTGACTATGCTGTGATAATGCTGTCATAATTGTAATATTATGCTTTTAGAGGTTTGGTCTTGCTCTGTTCATCCCCAAGTAAGGTAGAGCTGTGTGAATGGAAATACTTTATTATGTTCAAAGATTTGTATTTGTTTCAAGATAGCCTATCAGGTATATTTAACTGCCATAGAAATGACTGTATTTTTTCATGTTCAATGTTGCTGATGCTGACATGAGTCTTTTCTTCTTTCAGTCCTGATGAAAGGAGGTTCTGTGTTTTCTCACTGACAGCATCCACAGATGGAAAAGAGATTTTAGGCGGGTCAGTATCTTATACTATGGCCATCATACTTGTCCTTTAATAACTCCATCCATCCATCCATCCATCCATCCATCTATCTATCTAGTATCTATCTATCTGTCTGTCTGTATCTATCTATCTGTCTCTATCTATCTATCTCTCTATCTCTCTATCTATCTATCTATCTATCTATCTATCTATCTATCTATCTATCTATCTATCTATCTATCTATCTATCTATCTATCTATCTATCTATCTATCTATCTGTATCTATCTATCTGTCTGTCTGTCCAGACTGATCTCATGAAGTAGCGTGTGTATGCCACGCCAATTCGTATTTCCATTTTTGGCGTGCTATCAAGACGCATAATCGCCTTTCAGCGTGTTTATGAACGCCGTTGACTTAACGTTATATAAATGTATGACTTACCTCAACCCCGTCCCTAAACCTAACCATCACTGGGGTTAATGGCATTTATGACTGTTCCCTCACCATCCTAGGTAAAAAAAAGATATGACTTACCTCAACCCCATCCCTAAACTTAACCGTCACTGGGGTTAATGGCATTTATGACTGGAGATTTGACCGCGTGTACAGACACGCGGAATGACGCGGACGTTAATGGCGTAGACATACACGCATACACGCGGATAGCTCAAAATGCGTAGAGATAACACGCCACCTGACTCGAAAGTGGCGTGTATGTTTGCGCAAAAGTCATGATGTCATGTTGGTCTGTCTGTATCTCTATCTATTTATCTATCTATCAACAGTTATAATAACTACCTACCTTACCTCGAAAAAATAAAGTGTATGTCTAAAATACTCTTCTACTCTTCCTGAAATACCTTTATCTCTATCAAACAGTGCAAACGATGGCTGCCTGTATGTGTTTGATCGTGAACAAAACAAGAGAACTCTAAAGGTATGTTTCTCATGTTGTAAAGTCGTAGAAAAAGAAAAACACGCATTACAGATAAAAATTGTATTTAGAATATTAAAAAGTGACAAGAACCCTCTCATCAGTAAATGAAAACCCGAAAAAAGGTTTTGTCACCTTTCACCTGCTTCACTTGTTCTCTTCCATTGGGATCTGAATTACTATATTTGTGGGCTTTTTTCCCCTTGGATTAATGTGATTTTTACCTTCTAATGGATCGTTATTTCTTTATCAAAATAAGTTAGCTCTACTGTCAATCTGTTATAAATCTCAGCCATCCTGTGATCTTATTCCTTGCATAACCTTTACAGCTTCCCGGTCTCAGTGCATCAAAGCAAAGGTCTTTCGCCTCTAAACTGAATGTGATCTTTGATAAAGCATGACAGATTTAGTGAGAACATTATCCAGACATTGCCCTCTGTAGAATGACTCATATGTATTTCTTTATTTTTTTTATCTCTTCATCTTTCAGATTGATGCTCATGAGGATGACGTGAATGCTGTGGCATTTGCAGACAGTTCATCGCAGCTGCTGTTCTCAGGCAGTGATGATGCTCTTTGTAAAGTATGGGACAGACGTACACTCAGAGAAGACAGACCACAGCCTGTGGGTCAACTGGCTGGACACAGAGATGGAATCACCTTCATACACAGCAAGGTGTAATAGCAATCCATACTGTCATTGTCCAGACACTGTGATTTACAATACAGTTATTCCATTGCACAATTCTTTTACAGGTGTGAATGTAAGCTAAATTATTGTTATAAATCACCACAGTGCAATATGCTCTACAGTTCTAGTTTAAAGGGATAGTTAACTTTAAAATTAATTTTTGATATGTTTTAGCTTAACTCAAGGGCATCCAAGATGTAGGTGTCTTTGTTTCCACAGTAGTTTCAATTTTGATATTTTTCGGTCAAACCGTTGTTGTCTATCAGTCATATAATGAAGGTTTAGGGGGTCCACCTAAAAGAGCATGCACAGAGAAGTCCAAATTAAACATGATTTAATGACTCGTAAATGTAAGTAGACATTGATGGACTAAGACACGAAATGAGCGCTTTGTGTGAGAAAACGAACAGTATTTCTATCGTTTTTACCTCTTGTAATCATATTCACGTCCAAGTGATCTGCCTGCGCAAGCTCGCCGGAAAGCCCCGGAAGTGATCTCTCGTGCGTGTACGTCACTCATTGTTTACACAGAGATTTCAGAAGTGTTATCCTTCACTGTGTAGATCTAAACATATTTAGATGTACAGGAAATTGCAATGGAAGACGATTTCGATATATCAACAGACAACGTTGATTTTTTTCGCAACCGCGCAAGAGATCACTTCCGGCGCTTTCCGGCACTTGCGCAGACCGAAACGCCCATGCCTTCAGATCACTTGGACGTGACTGTGGTTACAAGAGGTACAAACGATATAAATACTATTCGTTTTCACACTCAAACCGCCCGTTTCGTGTCAAAATTTAATTTCAAAGTGAACTATCCCTTTAATGTAAAAATAAGTAAACAAACCACTTTCCAAATTGACATTCATGTTTAAAATGAATAATAATGAAACTAATTACTAATAACTACTTTTAAATAATACTTAAAAAAACAACTAATAATACATTTTAACTACATTTTAAAACATGAATATTATTACTAATGTAATTATTAATAATATAACAAAATTTGTCACTTAGAATTTATTTTGTTGAATGAATGCACTGATTGATTGATTGATTTCTGTATTGTATTATTAAGTGGTCCTGGTCCTCCATAACCGTACACTCAAGATATCAGAGAAGCCTTATATGAAGCCTTATATGAAGTATTTATTTAAACTACATGCCAAAAATATGTGGACACACACTTCTATTTAATGGCTTTTACTATTCCAGCTGCACCCATTTGCTTAAAAATAAACTGGGTGTCCAGATACTTTTGGCCATATAGTATATGTCACAGCGAACAAGATGAAGGTAATTAGACAGTTAAAGAGCAGAACTGTTCTCAAAAAGCATCAAATCCTGTTGTACAGTTGCAGAAAATCCACTATTGCCCTCTAAATATAATTGCAATACATGAGTTGCTTCCCTTCAAGCACTTTTTAAGCAGCTTTTACATGTTGTCCTGTAGGGCGACGCTCGATACTTGATCAGCAACTCCAAAGATCAGAGCATTAAGCTGTGGGACGTGAGGAAGTTTTCACCCAAAGAAGGACTCGCGGCATCACGACTCGCTGTCACACAACAAAACTGGGACTACCGCTGGCAGCAGGTTCCCCAGAGAGGTGTGTTACAGTAGCATGCTAGAGGAACTTTAATAGACAACCTTAATTATTTACAACCTTAATTGTACACATAAACACAAAGCACCTGTTTTCACTCGTTATTTTGTTGCCCTGCAGCACTAAAGAGGCATAAGCTGAGCGGTGACACCTCTGTGATGACCTACAGGGGTCATGGAGTTTTGCACACGCTCATTCGGTGCCGCTTTTCCCCGGAATTCACAACTGGACAGAAGTTTATTTACACAGGCTGTTCAACAGGCAAAATCGTCAGTAAGTTGATAACAAAATGCACAACAAGGTGCGAAACAGTCGTATTATTCAAATGTGCCTGTTTTCATTTCCTTTCGTCTTTTTGGTAGTCTACAACGTGTTGACGGGAGCCGTCGAGTGCAAATTGTCTAATCATGACGCATGTGTGAGGGATGTCAGCTGGCACCCGTATCACAACAACATGGTCAGCAGCTCTGTAAGTAAAAGCACCGTTTAATACTATAAGGGCTGTTACGACATGTGGACATAATTGATGTGTCAATTTGCTTGGAATGCAAATAGTTGTATACCACGTCAAATAGTTGTCTGTCAAGTTCATATAATGTAAGAGACGCACTGACTGTATAATCATGAGGGGTAAATTACTCACGGAGAGCAAGAAATGATCCGAAGATTCACCAGAGCTGCCAGACGTACTTTCTACACTCAGTTACAAAGCGTTTAAAAGAGTTAGTTCACCCAAAAACGAAAATTCTGTCAGTATTTACTTTTTTTTTTATTGGAACACAAATAAAGATATTTTTTATGAAATCTGAGAGCTGGATCACTCCACCATACTAGTCCATATAGGCTTCTTGAGGGATTGAAACTTGCCGGCCTGGAAAAGTTATTAAAGACATCGTTAAAATAGTCCAAGTGACTCCAGTGGCTCAATCTTAACTTTATCAAGCGGCGAGAACACTTTTTGTGGGCAAAAACAAAACAAAAATAACGACTTTATTTCAACTTTTCATATCCTTCTCTGTGGGCCTCGAGTGAGTTCACTAGTTTAACAGCGTATGATCTGTTGTTGTACGTCACACGCATCACACACGTGACCAGCGTGGGCCAACAGTGAGCCTACGTGTGACGTACTATCACACTACGTTAACTGACTAACTGCCCAAAGAGAAGGAAGAGAATTGTTTTGTTTGTTTTTGCGCACAAAAAGTATTCTCGTCGCTTTATAAAGTTAAGATTGAGCCACTGGAGTCACTTGGACTATTTTAACGATGTCTTTAATAACTTTGAGGCCGGCAAGTTTCAATCCCTCAAGAAGCCTATGGACTAGTGATCCAGCTCTCAGATTTCATCAAAAATATCTTAATTCGTGTTCCGAAGATGAACGAAGGTCTTACGGGGTTGGAACAACACGAGGGTGAGTACATACTGACAGAATTTTCATTTTTGGGTGAACTAACCCTTTAAGATTTCTGTTGGGTGTTAAAATATCTGACAGATGAAATGCTTTAGGATTATTTGACCATCAGAAAATCATAAATGGATTAATCGCAAAAATAATTATTAGATGAATCCACTAAATAACCTTTAGTTGCAGCCTTAAATACAAAAAAAAAATGTAAGTGCATCATCAACACTGTACTCATTGGCACTCTTTTTTCTCATGTTCGCTCAGTGGGATGGCGCCATACGTTTGTGGGAACACACACAGAACCTTCCTCTGGACAAAGACAGAGAGAGGATGAACGTGGATGTGACAGAGATGAAAGCAAAAGGCCATTGATGACATCAGAGGTAGATGGTGCCGTCACAGCGGGAATGAGATGATGAAGGAATAAAGAGAAACGGGAAATAAATCACAAAAGACAACTCATTTTGAGCAGAGAATTTAGTAAAATCACACTGATATAGTGTCTGGCAGGATCTTCAAGTGTTTTTTGTTTGATTCCACATTGCTCCTCCTACCGGCACAAGAGATGATACAAATGTGCTTAAGCTAAAAGAATCATTGACATTTAATTAATGGACAGGGCGTTTTTCTTTTACGCCTACTGTTACACCTCTTTTTCAGCTCGGAGGTGAGCTTTTAACTGCAGGTTTAAGCTTTAGTGAAAGTGAATTTCACCGATATACAGGACGCATGAATTCAGACAGGCACAAAACAACTGCTTTGCTTGAAAAATTGCTGTACGGTAATATAGCAAAATAATTTAGACAAAATGGACATGTTTCTAAAAGTGCAAAAAGAATTCTGGGAATAATTCTAAATATTGTAAGATATTTTATTGCTATTAATGTTCAGGATTTGATTTTGTAGTACAATGTAAAAAAAAAAAACTTTGTCAAAACTGAATGTGTGTTAAAAGTGTGTGTGGAGATATAGTCGTGGGTTTATGGGTGTGGGAGTGTGTTTCTTTATGCGTGGATGTTTGATTTGTGTATGATTCAAGTGCATTTAGAATTCATTGAAACACTCAGAATTGTTTTACAAGAATAATTAAACGTATGCGCACAACTTTGTTTGTTTGGACTATAAATCAGCAAGCAATACAGTTGGGTTGCATTTCAAGCCAATTTCTCATGTCCTACATGCAATCAAAATAATTTTTCAAACAATTTATGGGGAGGTCAGATTTTATGTACTCACATTGCCACAGTGTCTCACATTGTCTGTTCAAGAGTTTGCTAAATTAAAATGATTGTAGGTAAAACTAAAGAGAACATGCTCTTTTCTTAACTTGATCTGTGAACACATACAATACTGTGCAAACGTAGAGTCCGTAATATTAATCAAAAGTATATTAAAAAATATGAAATTAGAAAATTGTAATAACATTTCACAGTATTTCTGTTTCAAATAAATGCAGCATTGGTGAGCAAAAGAGACTTCTTTTAAAAACACTAAAATCAAATTTGCCTTGGTCTTTTGACATATTAGAGGTGGGTTACACTTTAGATTAGGTTCCAATTGTAACTATGACTTTTGCCTCAATAAACTCCTAAATACTGTGTATGAATAGTTAGTAAGGTAGTTGATAAACGTATGTATTTGGTAGGAATAGTATTAAGGGATGTAGAAAATGGTAATGCAGAATAAGGCATTAATATATGCTTTGTAAGTACTAATAAACAACCAATATCCTAGTAATGTGCATGCTTATAACCGATTAAATGTGTTAATAGTGAGAACTGAACCCTAAACTAAAGAGGTCTTTGGACCATTAAAACATCCTGCAATTTTTATAATTTAAAACAGCCTAATCAAGCTCCAAAAACAGGTCGTATGGATATTGCAGAATCTGTGACATCGCACAGGCAAATATATTTGCATATGACTGCCTCCAGAGCAAGATGTCCACGAATAGTTACACGTCTGTAACTATTCGTGACTGAAAGACTGATTGAAAGACTGATTCCAACCCCCTAAGACTTTCATTCATCTTCAGAACAAAAATTAAGATATTTTTGATTAAAGATGGATCACTCCTCCATAGGTATATAGATGGATTGGCAGGCCTTTTCAATGTCCTTATGCCAACACTGTCAGGAATACTGCGCAACAATATCAGAGAGAACCAGCTTTCACAGCTTTCAGGTTTAAAACCCAGGTATTCATGACATCAGCAATCCAAAGTTATGCTAAAGATACTTTATGGGTAAGTTCCTATATAATATAGTCACCAATCACAATTTAAAACAGTTAAGAAATCATTTGACCACAATCAATACAATTTCCCATCAAGTATTTGAACCAGAGTGAATCTCCCACTTATACTGAAGACCATAAGTCGCTGGTTCTGTAAGTGTTAAATAAGGGCTGATGTTGAATTACACAGGAAGATGGGCCTCCAGGAGCAGAGCCTGACTCCCCTAACACAACATTGTATGCCATAAAAGAGATGGAAAACTTTATACGTACAGTTTGTTGACCACCTCCTTGAGGTCATTGGTCTGGACCTCACGAGTCATGATTTCCATCATCTTCAAGCGGATCTGATCTGACGGACCTGCTGGTGCTGAGCATAGGAGGTCTTTCGGATCTGGTTGGTGCTCTTCTTGGTGAAGCCCACGCAGAACAGGCGGAGAAGATAGCCATCAGTGGTCTTCACATCAACATGGGCCTCAATCATTGTCTAATGGGAAAGAACCAATCAGTATTTTAAAATGGCCAGCACAAAAATGTCAAAAATAGCTTCAGTACACAGAATTTTTCCAATTATAAGTACTTAATCCCCAAAACTAAAGATGTAATAAAGGAACTTGCATCAAGATCAAGAACACCACAATTCAACAACACAATACCAATCTTGAAAATACTTTTTGGAATGTGAAACCATATTGAATCCGGCTTCAGTCGAAACTCTTTCAACCACTTTATTTTAAATGTTCCTGAAAATTTGGATGATTTAATATCAGATATGCTAGTAGCTGCGTACATAAAATGAACAAGTTGGGACTTATTGGACACCCTTTGCCTTATTCCACAAGTTATATTTATTCTAGGTGTTAGTCCTGGGTTTAAGGAGACATAACTGTAAATATCAGTATAAAACATTTTGATCACTGAACAAAAACTTTTGTCGAATCCAAAATTTTCTAAAGTACAAAAGAAAAAATCGTGCTCTATCGGGCCCAGCCTATAACTATTATAGGCTCACCATTGTGGTTTAGTGTAAGGTAAAACACGGTATGGAAAGTGGATTTATAATGTACTCACGCATTGCATTGTTGACGTATTCATTTTTTACATTTGTGTCTTCTCACATGAAGAATCATGTTTTTTCTTCCGATTTTTAAATGGTCAGCAAGCATACACTGAAGGAGTCATAGAAGTTGAGAGAAGCACTGTATTGAGTGAGCAGCGCCCTCTACTGTTTGTCTTTTAACAAGACGAGAGATTTGTTCAGGTATATTGTCATATGTTATATACACCATTTCACAAGATGTAAACAACACTGGTCCAGAAGCACTTCCTGTTTCAGTTTTTTAACACTACATAAAAGCTGTGATAAAATACAACCAACAGAACATTTAAAACTGAATCAAAAAAGTTAAATAAACATCTTTAAGATGTTTTCTTTACATGTGAAATAAAGAAAACAGTTACAAACTTGTCCAGAAGCACTTCCTGTTTCAGTTTTTTAACACTACATAAAAGCTGTGATAAAATACAACCAACAGAACATTTAAAACTGAATCAAAAAAGTTAAATAAACATCTTTAAGATGTTTTCTTTACATGTGAAATAAAGAAAACAGTTACAAACTGAAACAGGAAGTGCTTCTGGACCAGTGTTGTTTACATCTTGTGAAATGGTCTATACTATTTGGCAAATGACACTGTAGTAGAATAAAAGTATATGTGTAAGTTCACAGCACAGACCTCGACTTACACAACAGCTGGTGGATTAAAAAGACAAGCAGGGAATTAATTATTAGTAATTATTAGTGTGAAGATGAAAAGGTCAATAGACCCAAAATATCTGTTTGTGAAAGACAATGGCCAAACATCAAAATGCAGATCAGTCTTCATAAGGTAATGAAAATAGTAAAAATAGAAAACTTTATAAAGAATTTGCAAAATAAATAAATAAATAAATAATAATAATAATAATAAATTGATTATCAGATGATGATGACAATTTTCTTCATGCTGCACCACATGTACAAACACATACTGTACATTCATACATATTCTATTTGGTTTAAAAACTTTCAGTGCTTGGAGCTAGATGTGGATTGTGGAATACAATTTTTTTTCGATAAAAAATATAAAATAAAAAACACCTTATCAGATTATGTGAAGGAATAATCAACAGATTTATTGATTATCGTTAATTGCAGCTCTAGATATTATGAGTTATTATATCATACTTATATTAACTTTTGTTTTATTTGGTCAGGTATTGGACATTTACAGAGCTAGAAAAACAACAAGAAAAGAATGAAAAATAAAACAAATAAGAATGTAAACAACTATATGTATATGCATCTGAATATTCATTCTCCAACCGGATTTAATCAGATACAGAGTTATTTAGTATTTATTCACAACCAACCAAATGCTTCCTCACAGGCCGCACTCCAATAAAACTGGCTTGTGCTCTATTCTGTGGAGGAAGGAAAAGCCACCAAAGCAGTTGAGCTCTTCAAAAATAAGACACTTTAGTGAACAAAAGAAATGAGGCGATGGAAGAATGGTGTGTTCACTTTAAAGATGAATTTCAACACAGATTCATTCATGAACCCAGTTCCTAACAGTGATGCTGGCCTTAACAAACACCACTACATACACACAAAGATGAGTAATGAGTGTATATATACATAGAGGAATAAATGAAGATGATAACGATAATTGGAGAATTATATAATACATGTAACATAGAGCTCTAGCTGACTTCTGCTGATATCAAGTGTTGTTTACATTTAAATGATCCTCAGCACTGCATGTCAGTCCAGTAGATTGTGTTGATTTTTGAAATCATCACAACTCTTTCTGAAGCCTTGAAGCCTGCACACACTTGCTGCAAGCTCTTCACAACTCGATCAATCTCCTCACAACTCGATCAATCTCCTCACAACTCGATCAAGCTCTTCACAACTTACGAAATTGGTAAGTCTTAGTGATTTGTCCAGTTTTTGTAGTTGTACTTGATCCAGTATCATGGAGCAGCGTCGGTCAAGAAGATCCAGGACTCTTCCCGCACACCTGAGGGGATTCGTGGTGGAGGACGTCTCTTCGCGATCAGACCCATGTGAGCCTTCACAGCTGGCAGTCAGGTTGGACCACACCTACAGCTGCAGCTCTGCCAGAGCTCCACGACCCACAGTTTTGGAAGAGCGCTACCTGAACAACGCTGCTGTCCTTCCCGACATCTGTCCGGCCGTCGCTGTCCTTCCCGACATCTGTCCAGCCGCCTCAGTGTCTTCAGTGGACGCCTGTCAAGAGGAAGATCCCGTTACCATCCACGGCCACAGCATCGAGGCGTACCAGGACATCTACCGCTCTGTGGTGGAGCCCATGCTGAAGACACCCAGTGGTCAGCGCCGTCCCTACAGCCTTGAGCTGGGACTGAAGATCAAGCAGCGACTGTGGAAGGCCCTCAACTGCCCTTCAGTGGAGGAGACGGAGCAGCCTGACGGACGTGTCCTGATCACGGAGAGCTTCTCCACACCCAGCAGACGCCTCGCTCCTCGGTTCCACGTGGACATCAGCGAAGAGCCCCTGCCTGAGGAGCCCCGAAGAAAGAAGCCCAGACACTGAGTCATCACAGTGTCACATGGAGCCCGGAGTATCACACAGCGGGACCACTGAATGTAAATAGTTACTATAGAGTAAGTTTAGAGTTTTATAAGTTTCATTTAAGTTTGGAGTTTTATGAGTAAGTTTTATTTTGTACAGTAATTTTAGAGTTTTATGAGTAAGTTTTATTTTCTGGAGGTGTTTTGTTGTGCGGGTGTTCGGATGTTTTCGGTCGTTGTCAATTGCGTTGATTTGCGGTTCACGGGTTGTTCG